ATTATTCCTTTGGAAGAGGTGATTGGAGAAACCAACCACACACCCTCCCTAGGGCTTCTGAGGGCCAGCTATGGCAGCTGGCATTATGTGGCATCTGCAGGCAAAGAAGAACCCCTCACCCCTTTCTTTCCTGTGAAGGTGATTGATGTTTAATTGGAAATCAGAAATACAACCAAGTACATTGGCCCTAAACTCCCAGCAACTGAGTTAATCTACTGCAGAATGAAGTAGAACCAGACATAGTTTGTTTCATCTTGCCAAAAGAATGGTATGATAAGTCATGTTGCCAATGGCACAATCTGCAATATTACAGTAAAATAAAAATCAATGCCTCTTGGTCCTAGACATAACCACAGTACTTTTATGGATCCAAATTCTGAAAGCTATGATAGTGAACATCTTGTTCACATTGGTTTTGGCAACTTCCAAAGATGTTTTGTATATCTTCCTGCCACCCACTAAATTTCCCACCCTTGCCACTTCATCAGTGACTCCAAATTTATAAAGAAAATCTGCATAAAAAAATTCCCATTCCTCATAAAACCAAGATCTCTATACACAGGAATGTTTTATGGAACAGTACTTTCAAATGAAAGTTCTAAAAAATATTTAAACAAGGATTGTCTCATTGTTTGGGTACCACATAAAGAATAAATGTGTATCATAGTGAATAATTTTCAAGCTCTGTGCTCCATACCAAACCCTGAAAGAGATCCAACTTCAATGTAAGCCCCTTGAGGGACCAGGGTTTAATGAACTCTGTAGCCCCAGAAACTATCAGAGTTCCTGGAACATGTCAGACAATAAATATTTGTTGAAAGACCAAATGTCAGACTTAACCACATTGGGGGCCACATATAAACTCTGTGTATCAACATTTAAGTAGAACTAACCCTACACCCCATTCTCTCCCTCCCTCCTTCACTACCCATACACACTCATAGCACACACATGATCAACTTATCTAGACTTTACATACAACAACAAAAAAGATAAAAGATATGATTTTGTATCTGAAAATTATTATTTAGAAGGTCAGGAAAGACCCAAGATTTTGGTTCCCTGCTCCAGAGATATTATAGACCTGTTAGAAGTAAAAGGGATATACACAGTGCTATGCAGCATCCTTTGGTTACAACTGAGAACTTCAAATAAAGTTTTAATTGGAAATAGACATTCAATTCTCTGCTTTTGCCCTACCTGTTTTTGTTTATTTGTTATTGTTGTTGTTTAGCATATTAAAGCATAAAATAAACCTGTTTAGACTCTCATGTTTTTCCATAGAGAAAGCATAGCAAAAGTTAAGGCAACTTCAGGAGAAATCCCATTTACCAACAGACACCACACACTCTCAAACACAAAGCCTCAGTTTCTGATATTTATTTCCCAAACTGGACAATGGCTTACTGAAGACTAGACCCAGGGATCATTTTATGTAATGGATCATTGCTTTTATGAGTTCTTAGTGACCACAAAGGTCTTGAATTCCTTTGCAAACAGCAAAAAAACAAATTTCCTCTTTTGGGGGTACCAAGAATTCATACCAAAGGCTACAGTGAGACATTCTTGGTCTGTGTCTATGAGTAACCGAAGACCACTACTCCACGGACATAAAGACAGTCAGGCATTAGTAAAAGCAAAGTTTCTCTTTCAAAGAGAAAGATACATGTAGTTTGAATGTGGTTGATCTTGGAAATCACTGTTTCTAATGAATTGCTTCAATGACTAAAAATGCTAAACAATACCACTAAAGATACAGCATCTCAACCTTCTGGCCCTTTAAATACAGTTCCTCATGTTGTGACCCAACCATAAAATTATTTTCGTTGCTACTTCATAACTAATGTTGCTACTGTTATGAATCGTCATGAATCGTAATGTAAATATCTGATATGCAGGATGGTCTTAGGCGACTGCCAAAGGGGTCACGACCCATAGGCTGTTTTAAAGGATAGAAACATTATATATATTCAAATGTTTTTTACTTACATGATGTTAAGAATAATGCCCAACATTTCATTTTTTATTTTTTTAAGATTTTTTAAATTGATTTTTTTAGAAAGAGAGGAAGAGAAAGGGAGAGAAAGAGAGAGAGAGAGAGAGAGAGAGAGAGAGAGAGAGAGAGAGAGAGAGAAACATACATCAGCTGCCTCCTGCATATCCCCCCACTGAGGATCAAATCCAGCATCCCGGGCATGTGCCCTGACCAGGAATACTAGTAGAACCAGCAACCCTTTGGTGTCTGGGCAAGAGCCAACCAAGCCACAGTGGCCAGGGCAATGCCCAACATTTCTATAGGATGTTTGTGTTTACAAAGCTTCTTTCCTTCCATGACCCCTTTTTAAATTCACTACATCTATTTTGCTAGGCAAACAAGACAGGTTCTGCTGTGATTTGTCTGCACCTTAAATGGAAGGGTAACAGGAGTTAAAACGGAACTCTTCCTAGTAGCACATTATAAAATGAACTTCACACCAATGCAGGACATGCAAAGGAAATGTTTCCGAAATCATACTTGCAATGCGTAGCCCAACATCCACTCTAAAAATCTCTGAGGTTGAAGAGATCTAGAGGAAGATATTTTTGGCAAAAATGGTAAGCATTATCAGCACCCCTCCGCACACTCCATGAGAAAAGGAGAGGGGGTGCATCCCTTCACCTGGGGGAGGCTTCAGGATTACAGTTTGGAGAGCCTGGTCTGTCTGAAGGCACAGAGACTGGGGTTGGTTCCAAGCTTGAAGAAACCCAGAAGAAAGAGGAAGTGATGGGTAGTTACCTAAAAGCAGAGGAAGGAGAGGCGGCCGTCCTGGAAATGGCTGTGTTGGAGTTTCCCTTGGTTTCACGTGGACATCGTGGAAAGATACCAGTATAGATCGTGTTATGAAAAATGTTACTTGTGTTATGAAAAAAGGTCCTCCTGGGAGCTGAGTAGCAGAATAACCCCAAGAAAGGATGGGCATTGATATCTGCAGTAGTAAGTGGCCAATTTGAAGGGACATCATCCGTGTTCAGGGAACAGCACTTGATCCCCAAATATAAGGGTGTATAGCTCCCAACACACCCAGAGGGCAGTAATATTTGATTATGATAGGCCCGTCAAGCAGCACCTTTTTCACTCCCTAACTCTCCCTCACCAATCCTCTCCACCCTAGAAGACCAGAGCAGACTAGGGGCAGGTAAGAGGAAGAAAAGTTGCATAAGATGGGAAACAGAGAAGACCACTGTAGACCCCACCTCCAATTGCAGGCTTCCAGTCCGATGTATTACTGAGTTGGGGAAGGGGAGAAGCTTCCATATAAAATGGAATTCAAAGCATCAAACATTTGAAATATCTAGTGGCTACCCCATAAAAGCTCAAAAATCAGCAACTGCTGATTACATTTTACAGCATAGACTCTGAGATGCCTGAATCTGGGACTCTTGGGGGCTGGGATTAGGCTACCCACAAGTCCATTATGGAGAACCAACCTGGGATAAGCAGAAAATTGTTCTAGCCTTGCTCTCCAGAGCCCTTACTATTATGGAAAAAGACACACAATGTACATGGACCCCTCCTGGACCAGGACCCTCACTTAAAGGCCAGTCCTTCTCAGAGGCCGGCCTGACCTCAGGCACATCCTCTTCCTCCAAATGGGGAAACAGGCATCGATCTGCTCATAAGTGACCAGGTGACCAGCTACTCAAGGCCCCGTGTGCTGAGAGTACCAAAACTTCACAGTCAGGTGTTAGTTTAGAAGATGAGACAGGAACCTTGAACACTGTGCTTCCCTAAGGGGATGGAGCTTGTATGATCTGGAAAGTGAACAGATTTCAGACAGAGCCAAGAAAGTCAGCATGGCCTCACAATTGCCTTCTTTTGACACCCTCGCCTGATTCTCCTTGAATGTCATTGTTTCATATCACCTGAAGCTGTTTCATTTGAACTCACACATTATTGATAAGGTGCCTTCTCTATATGAGACATTGAACAAACACACCTAAGGGGAGTCAGATCCCCTAGTTCCAACTTTGATCCTGGGCAAGTCCCTTCTCTGCCTTTCTCCTTCAGGTTCCGTACATAAAATGAGAGGACTGGATGAGATGTCCTCTAAGACCATCATTGCTCTAACACAGTGGTCCTCAACCTTGGCTGCACATTAGAATCACCTGGGAATCTTTTTAAAATCCTGATTTCTGGGCCTCATCCCGGTGATTCTAATGTGCAGCCAAGGTTGAGAACCACTGCTCTACCACATTATACCATGTGTGGAGTCTGAAAGGATTTAAATGTGACTAAAGCATTGAGAATTAATTAGCCCTTGAATTTGTAGAGCATTTTGTAATCTTTGCAAAATTCTTTCACATCCATTACCTCATCGGTTTGTATCTCCACCTGCGATTCTAAGGCATTGGTATTATTAGCCTTATTAAACAAGTGAGGAACCAGACTCAGAGAAGTTAAATGAGTTATCCCAGGTCACACAAACAGCAGAAGTTGGACCAGGAGCTGAGCATCTTGATTCCCAGCCTGGCCGCCTTTCCATGCCCCACAAATTCTGGTGTTTGTCATTAATAGTGACACAGGCAGCTCCTGGGAACCAGTCAGGGTCCCTTCTCACTGATGTCAGGTAACAACATTGCACTGGTTTTTGTCAAAGTCCCAGTGGCTGGTCTGATTAAGTAGGTTCTTCCCAGAGGGTCTTGTGAACCCCCAATAACCTCCTTTCTAAGTTTCTTTCAGTAACTCTGACCATTTGGAGAGAAAACAAATCCATACACAGAGGAGTTTTAGGTGTTATTTTAACTTTGTATACCATGCATAAAAAGTTGCCCTTTAACTTCAATTTTTGAATATAAGTTAGGGAAAAAGAAAAGTTTTTGGCACATGTTCTCCAGGTGAATGCCCCAGAGCCTGGAGTTTAACTCCAGGACCCCCAACAAAACTCCAGAGTAACCCCTGTTTCTACCCCCTCCCCCATCCCCATGAAGCTCAGGTCCCTTCCCTCACCACTGTAACTCACCAGCTACCTGTGAGGTTCCAGACCATCTTTCGGGCAATATGGACTTACAGCAAGAACTTTGCCCCAACACACAGAATTTCTTCTTGACTTTGTCTTATTCACTGAAAGAAAAAAAAATCACTGCATTGTTTAAAGAGAAATAAAAATCAAGAACATATTGTCATTACAAGAGCACAGAATATTCTCGTGGCACAAAATGGCCACATAAATTACTCAATAGTTTTTCAGCAGGTCAGAATATTAATTTGTATTCATATCTGCTAATAAATCAGAGCAAGTTTTAAAGATTTCTACTAAAAATAATTAAAACATAAAAAGTTTTGGTTCCCTGAGAAATAATCATCAATATGTGGGGGGAGTCACTCTGGGGAAGAGTTCACTCCTTGACCATGCGTATGTCCCTATATTTCCTTTTTCGCACACACAGATTCAACTCTGATTTTTGTTCTTTAAGCTCTTACATGGATAGTTCTATCTATCCCATTTGATGCACAATAACCTGTTAGAACCACACAAAGAGAGGGGAGGATTATACAGAAGCATGAATAAGATCATGTTCCTAAAATGTTATTTAGAGAAACTCATTTGAGGTTTCCAAAATGTTTTGTCAGAATCAGACTCTCTGCTCAGAATTAACTTCCACGTTGCCCAGTCCTATAACCCTGACTTCTGGGGAGAAAAAAAGAAGTCCGCTAGCTACCTAGAAACCAATGCAAGTCTTCTGGAAGCTTCGACCACCACCCTAAATAATCCTTGGATGAGCTGCAAATGGTACGAATAGTATTTGCTAATTCTATCACTGCTCAGTTCCCCAAATCTGCCACTGCAGTAAGAGGGAGCGTTACTGGCAAGTGAGTAGTATCCCGCAGGGCTGAGGGTGTGCCCTGCTCAATGTCAGCCTTTTCAGCTGAGTGGACAATCTGCTTTAACAGTGGGATGCTGGGAGCACGGACACCGGACGCCAAAGCCCTCCTGGTCCCGGTGGTAACTTCATTTCCCAAATGTTCATAATTAAACAGCTTTTATTGAAGTAATCAGCATGAGCTCCTTAGCTTTGTTTTTGCAAACGGTATTGTGTTTATGGAGCCAAATATGAGAGACTTTGATACTGAATACCTCCTCGGATGTGTTAACGTTGGCAGGGTCTCTAGATTCTGAAGATGCCGGGCCGCCTCAGCACAGCCTCCCCTCCAACCTCCAGCTCATCAGCCCCCCCAAACCACAAAGCACCAGTTCTCCTGTAAGACTCACTTAGCTATTTCTCCTGAAAGTCCCAGGGAATGGTGTGCAATCGAAACAGGGTGAAATACGATCTCAAAGTGTCTGTCGGACCAGAAGTTTTCAAAGAAAACATTTCTTAAGTCTTGTGTTCACTGCTGTTTCAGCAGGCCAATTAGATTGGATGGGACTTGGGGGGAGCTGTCGCCAGTCACTGCAGCAGGAATAGCAAACAAGACTTAAAGCAAATAAACGAGCCCAAAACTGGCATCCCAGGGGCCCCTGGCCATCGACCTCCTTCATTCCCCCTGCGGGATGGCCAGCCCACCCTCTGGGACCGAGGGCCAACCTACAGGTTAATCAGATGAGACATTAGTTAGCAGCCTCGATTACTAGAAAGCAATTAATCAGGGAAAGTCTCCAAACAGGAGGAGAATAAATAAACAGGCGGGCACATGCAGTCCCATTTCGGCTCTAGATAAGGCTGCCATCCAGGTGTCCTGCTGGGGTAGAGCCCATCTGTCTTGTTCAGTTCCTCTTGGGAAATGTGGTGACATTTCTCACATCTGCCTAGAAAATGCAAAGCCAAGAGGGCTCTGAATGGGAAGAAGGTGGGAGACTTTGGAAGAACTATTTTAGCACCCAAGAGGGATTTGGGGGAGAGCTTTCCCCTATCCTGGTCATCCTTTCGCATTGTATGTAGACTCATTTTGACACAGCAAAAAAACAAAAACAAAACAGGTTCTGCATGGGTCTCCAAACTCCTATCCATTTGGAGACAACCAGGGGCTTGGGTGGTGGCCTTGGGTCTATCCATAGGAACCCATAGGTTCATTAGCCCTTTGAGACTCTGGCTTCAGAGACTCTCCAGACGAGCTACAAAGGATTCAGATCAACGGAAACAACTGGTTTCCTCTGATTTGGGGTGAGAAAGATTGGAAAAAAAGGGAAGAAAGTGTAGTTAATGCAAGTGGAAAGTATCAACCATTGGTCCTGCTTGACCTGACATATCACTTCAAATAGGGTCACTCATCTGTGTTGTCTTTTTTCTTCTGGAACAAAAAGATGTCAGCAACTAGAGAATATGTGTAATGTAAACACGGCTGTGTTAGCTCAGCGTCAGGGAAAGCACACCCAACGTAAGTCAGCACAAGACATCCTCTGCTCAGAGGACAAGCGCAATGATTTTAACCTAATGACCCGCTCTTAAACAGCTCTACAGCAAATCACAATTGAATAAATAACACTTAATAGCAGAGATTTGTTTTACAGCCAGATTATTTGTGGGGAGAGAAAGAGAAGGTAGGGTGAGTCACTTAAATTTTTAATTATAAAATTAAGGCGGTTTCCAAATATTGCTATGAATGTAACCTCAAGCTAAATTTACAAAATGCCACAACAGTGAGTTACAGGCATTCTGGAACAAAACGGAGAGGCAGGGGGTGAGAGGTGTGGCAGTGTACCAGCAATTGAGGCTTTGTTTTGTTGACTTAAACTAAAGTTGAGTCTAGGGCAGGGGTGGGCAAACTTTTTGACTCGAGGGCCACAATGGGTTCTTAAACTGGACTGGATGGCCAGAACAAAAGCATGGATGGAGTGTTTGTGTGAACTAATATAAATTCAAAGTAAACATCATTACATAAAAGGGTACGGTCTTTTTTTTTTTTTTAGTTTTATTCATTTCAAACGGGCCAGATCCGGCCCGCGGGCCGTAGTTTGCCCACGGCTGGTCTAGAGCCTTCCTTCAGCCCAATGATGAGGAATATCTGACCAGAGTTATGTAAAATCAAGGCATATACAACAGTGAATGAGTGGAAAATGCATCCACGTGTGTCTCTGTGAAAAACTACAGAACTGAGGGTCAGGAAAGCCAAAGTCAAGGCCTACGTCTGACAATTTCTGGGGTACCAAGAAGGAACTGGCTGCAATGAAGGTGGGAGAGCTATCATAGCTCATGGCAGACACGGAGAAATCACAAAAGCATGTGCAGAACTGGTGAGCTGGTCAGTCTTCCCCAATGACAGCATTCAAGCTAAAGTGATGCCTTCACTGAAAGCTTATTCACCCTCCCTCGTTCATCTCTTCTTTTTTTTCTGTCTCATGATTTAACTCTGATATTTCCAGTGTGTCTAATTTTTTCACACAATCATCCACATACATATCTTTGATTAGGTGACCTGGTGATGGCTTTGTGACCTCTAAGAGAGTCCAATGACACTTTTACCTTGCCCCCCACATATCTTTATAGCCTCAAAAAACAATGATTGTGCCCCCAGGGAATACTGGGGCTCAACCAGAAGCCAAGTCCTGCAAAACCTTTTCCTCTTCATGCCTTTCATGCTTTGAATGATGACTAAAAACCTAGACTTTCCAGAAGCAGCCGCAAGTTCATCTTCGCTGACTGTGTGCCGTGGTCACGATTGTAAAAGGCACTCATGCTGCTGGTAGGACCACTGGGATACAGCCCAGCCCATGAGATTGTGAGCGTCACTCAGGAGCACTGCCTCCCCAAATCAGCTTCTCAGGATTCACACTTAGTCACTCACTTATCATGCCATGAGAAATCCAGGTAATAGTCTCTGTGAGAGCAGGTGTCGTGTTTTCTCCATTATGACAACCCTCCTTCCCCCCGCCCAAGCTCCTAGAATGATGCGTGAACATGGTACTTGCCATTTGTTTCATATTAACCAAGCAGCTACCTGGGCTGGGCATTCTGCTGTCTGTGAAGATGCACAAAAATCAAACTCAGCCCCTCCTATAAAGGAGCTAATAAGGTACACAAAGACATGAATGGACAGTTATAATCCTGAAGGGCACATGCCAGATGTAGCCAAAGGGTGGGTATCTCCTTCCCTTCACCATCCATGTCAAGTCATCTCCAAGTCTGATTGATCTCTAGAAATCACTCACTAAAGCAAAACCTTAGCAAATGGCTCTTCGTGAGGGTTATGTGATAGGCCCCAATCACTCAGATGTAGTCAGAAAGTACTTGGAGCGCCCATACTTGCAGAGGGACCCTGACAGATAAGAACCTATCTGGGAAGGCAGAACAAGATGATGAGTAAACTCAAGCCATGACTATGACTAAGAAGGAATCATTGAAAGAAAGCCAAAAAGGCTGAGCTGGGCAAAGAAGACCCTGAGTAACCTGTGAGGCCTCAAGGGCAAATACAGAACCATGTTAATGCAGGACAGCCCTATAGGACCCCACAGGCTGTGTGAACAGAGCTCCCCAAAGATGGGCAGCACACAACATAAAACCACACACAGTCACCCTATGCTCATCTTTCCACCTACTGTGTGCAGGAGAGCAGCCTCTTGATAAATGTTTAATGAATGAGACCCATTACTGCTAGAATGAACGAAAAACTGCTGTGTGAAAGATGGAGCAAATTTTTACTGTGTTAGTTTTTGCCCAAGATGACAAAAGAAAGTCCAGTAGATGCAAAAGCAAGAGAGAGGTAAACATTTTTTAAATTTCGAAGAGCTTTCTATGACACAACGTAGTCAAATGATGAAAGGGAGTGACAGGCAGGCAGCTGTAAGCTCCCTCTCACAGACACTAACACGCAGAGAGTAGATGAGTGGCACTCAGGGCTTGGGGCAAATATTCCATTCTTAGAAGAGGAAGTGGAGGTTGGGTCAAATCCAAGGCTGCCTTTGGGTCCTGATACAGAGCAAAAATGCAGTGAGCAGACCCCTGGAAGGTCCCAGAGCCGGGCAGGAGGTAGCACAAGGGGGGCCCAAAAGAGTTAAATTTCTATTCAGCTCCAGACCATTTCTAAAGTTATTTCTTGTGAAATCAAAATGTTTCCAAGTGACTCCAGGTCGGAAAATGCCAGGC